GGGACGAAAAGGGGGAAAAAGAACATACCCCTTCGACCATTAGCAAACACCACCTCGGTCGGCTTGGACACCATGCGGAAAACGTTGAACAACGACTGGCGATTCTGGCGGATACGCCAGGCCATGGCGAGGCCCAGACCTAGACCGAGGAGAGAGCCGAGCGTGGCGTGCGTGGACACTTTGCTGGCGGCCTTGCGCAGACGGGCGCGGTCTTCGGGCTGTAAGTCGTGTTGCATGTGTTGCTCGCCGAGGTCGGCGAGGTCTTTGTTGGGGTGGCCACGGAGGATTGCGAACATTGTGAATTCTTTCGGGGTGTGTCAGTTGGTGGTAGGTAGGGCGTGGTGTTTACTGTGGTGCTGTAATGGTGATGTTTCAATCGGTGATGGTGGTGATGGTGAAGATGGTGATGTTAACGAAGCATGTCTTGGCTGAAGAATAGGGAAATTCAATTGACACAGCAGGAAACGGCATTGTTTATAAACGCTGCCCAAAGCTACCTCTATCGTACAAAGGAACTCCAAAAAAAAACTAAAAAAAAATAAAACCTGGCTGTCACCTGGCTGTCAACACTTCGTCATTGTGAAGCCAATCTACTCCGTTTCCAACATCTATCATGTGTTTTGTCCTGCGGAGTTGCTGCTGGTCCAAATTGCTCCATGTGTGGTGTTTTGGTCATGATGATGTTAGATGTTCCGAGAGGGCCGGTGGGGATGCGATGATGTCACTGCACTCTTTGCAGCTTTTGGGAGCGAAATTGTTAGTGCAACCGCTGGAACATTTGAACGGTAACAATTTACGAGCCCCCGCGCCGTTCCCGGGGCCGATGGACCACGAATCTCCGAGCACCGGCGCGTCGGAAACACTGGGGTTGATGCGGACTGCGGTCCGGGGCTTTGTGAGGAGGCGTTTCGTTTTCGCTTCATTCCCTTTTTTGCACCTTCTTCACCTCTTCTTTTCCACCTTGTCAGAGATGTGAGACCTACGGAAGTTGCAATCCTACACCCAATTGACAATCTCAGTTGTGTTTTAGCTGCCAGGCCTGGGTTCTGGAAAACATTTTCCTCCCGTCTTTAACCGAACAAGACACGAATCAAGCATGTCTCCCCATCATTTGAGCCACCTTCGTCTCAGATCATGTCTTTTGCACACCGTTAAGACTGCAAGTCCGTTGCCATCGACGACACGAAAAGACCAAGCCACGTTCTGCGTTCCACGTTGCAGATTGCCATTCAAGGGCTCTTTTTGGGGAATAGGTCCGGAAAAAGACATGGAAGCAAACAAGCCTAAACCTTATATTTTTAGCTAAGCATTGTTGACAACGTGTGTGTGTGTTCGTCCGTCAATGTTTGCCTCCTCCTCCACGCCTGTCACGAACCTTGGACGCCCCGTCAGGTCATTCCCGGAGCCACCAGGTTGTTCAATACCGATTCCGGGCTCTGGGATTCGTGATGCCGGTGAATGGGAGTGGGATGAATAGGGGTCGACAGAAGAAAGGCAGATTCGTGGTCCAAAACAGCCGGGGGAATGGGGGATGAGGGGAAGTCTGTCAGCTATCATGGACCAGCTCGCTTGTTTGACCAATGGATCTGTCGCTGACCTTCTTTGCTACAGTATCACGAGCTGAAGACCAAATTCCTTGACCTGTTTGCTGTCCATTGCTCATACCGATCGGTCCCGACGGGAATAACCGCTTTGGGCTCTCTGTTTCCTGGTACCGACAATTCTTCAACCCCCAAATGCAACAACTGCTGCTGCCTCACACCGCAGCGATGTGGCTATCCTGAGGAGAAGAGGGGGGATCCTCCGGCGGCAAAAAGAGATCGCAGCATCGTCGAGCTATTGGTTTCTTGCTGAGAAACCGGACTCGGCATAACAGCCTCTTGCGGACACGATCACAATATGTGCCCAACTCAAGCACATCGACCGCCAACAACTCCAATGTCGTCTCTCGTCATGTGCTAAATGTCTCTTGTGCGGCGCTAGGGCGGAAGATAGCGTGCTCACCGGCGGCGAAGCTCGCTAACCGGTTGCCCAAGCCGAATCAATCGCACTTCACGCTTGAAGATCACCCGGAATGGAACGTGGAATCCAAATAAAGATGGTGCACAGAAGGTATACAGGCGCTCTACGGTGATATCTTTTAAGCACTATACCCGTTACATCCCTCCCCAATGCACGTCAGCCGCGCAGCGGCGCAAGCGCCGAGTGAGGTTGCAGCCAGTTGACCACACGCGGCGCGGTTGCACATGCGAACATATAGTTCTTGGAAATCTATCCAACTGTCAGCGCTATCAATTCACATGGTGGAATGGGATTCACGATGCCTGAAGGCTTCGCTTACCCCCGTTGGGGATCTTGGAGGGTTCTTAGACGTCCAATCGCAGGGCTGTGCGAAGTTTGGAACCAAAGGCCGCCGGTCGCAGTGCGTGAGACGGACGAGCGCCATGCGCGTCATTAGGTTCTCCCGTTGGGTCTTGTGCAAGCTGAGAGGCATTCTTCGGCTATCCACTCTTGACATTGGACAACGAAGAGAGGGCTGCCTGCAACGGAGATGGAGGGCTCGGGATGTTGACCCGATGGACTTAAGGTATTATGCTCATGGAGGCGACCTTTTCGCTGCCTTTTTGCCAGAGGTAGCTATTCCCAGAGTCGACGACGCTCTGTGCGCTTTGGTGGTAGCGGGCGGTTACGGTCTCGGAGTATTGCAACGGTGCGCGGACACCATGGTCGAATTCGGAGAACGTTTCAACGTGGACTTTAAGCGAACATCCAAATGGCATCTTGAAAGACAAGTTGGGACTCGCCGTTGCATCATTGACTGACGACCGACACGCTCCGTCCTCAACCGCCACCGCCGCAACGCCGCCCCGGATTCCCGAGAAACCGGACCGCTCCCGGTAGTATCAACATGTCGCGGAGCAGCGCGGCGCAGCAAACGTGCACGCCTTTGACGAGGTCGGCGACCAGAAACCTTTCACGTTTCCGTCGGCTCGCTCTATGGCGTTCTACGCCGTAATCATACAGGACGTTATGGAGCCCCCTTTCTGCACGGTTGCGGAGGCCAGGTTTTTTGCCCACCAGGCTGTCGGGATAACTATCGGACCAAGGGATTGTTCTGCTCAAAATTTGTGTGGCGTTGCACAACAGGCAGCTATCAATGACACTGCACATCTGTGGTCGTTACTGAGCAAACACATTCCCGTGGCGTTGAATATCGTGAAGTTTACCCTAATATTGGGACATAACTCCCGAGTGTTTCGAAGTGATACAGACATGGGGATGGACGACAAGGCAGAAATCATTGTTCGGCGACTAGAACTCCAAACCTTTCCACGATCTAGGTGCCCGCGACACGAATTTGTTTTGACGCAGATGCAGCTTTGCAAGGGCGATATTTCGTCACCTCGTTGTTTAGGTAAATACTCCGATCACATGTTCCAAGGGTGGCTTGCATACAAAGTCCGATTGTCTACGGCTTGGCTCACCTGGCACTGGGCAAATCATTGATGGACTGACAGCCAAAAGAAGAAAGAGACGAGCAAAGAAGAAAGGAAAAGCCACGCCGTTGGTAAAACTTTTCGGCACACTGTCTCAACGGAACGCAGTCCGAGTTCAATCGAAACCGATCGTCAAGAGAGCAGCCGGAGTTGCGAACACGATAAGATGAAGATCATCTCGCAACGGAAAGCCAAGAGAACAAACATCGTGCGATCCTCCATTACCGGTGCCTTGGAAACTTGGGTCTTTCTCATTCCTTTGACGATTCTACAACCGCTGAGCACGGGGACGACGACGACAACAATGCGGAAAGCAATAATACCGTTAGGTAAAGAAGTACGGAAACATGTCAAAGGGAGTGAGCACCCTCATACGATGGCGCACCATTGAAGTTACTAAAAGTGGCCTTCGAGAGCCGCCACAACGTCAGCGTTGCAGCAGCAAGGTACAAGCCCTGTTCAGGTCCCCGTTCAGCCCTTCTGCATGTAACTGTACACGCATTTGCAACCCTCCAGAATACCTTTCTTCCTCGCAAGCGATCACGGCCCGTGATAAAGATGATCATGATAGGGCTCAGCTGGGCCTTTACTGCTGAACTTCTGGGTGATGTCTAGTGAACCCCATCACGAGAATATTGGCGGCTGGTTGGCCATGTTCTTGTCAATCAATGTCTGTACATGCCCTTGGCATTTCCTCGTGGCCAGGTGACGCTATTCCCGTCTTGGAATGGTTCCGGCCCCCAATGATGCATACCGGACGGCTCAAATCTTCAATGCTAACCCTCCCAGGCAGAAACAAGGTTGGATGATCGACCAAACCACACTTCACACTATGCCCTATGTATAAGCGACTTACAAGCCACTTTGGTACCTTGGTGCGAACAGTAATTCCCGAGAATGGGACGTCTTGGTCTTTGGGCTGAGAAGAGCAACCTATAAGCCAGTGTGAGGGTTGTGATACTGTGATAAGAGCTGGAACGGCAAGAGAAAGAAGGGGGAAGGAAGGAAAGGTTCGTGAAAGGAAACGACAAGCCTCAAAAAACTGTCACTGTCAAGGAGGCTCGAGAAGAATGACCGGGTTCAATGATCTGGGAATTGGGGATTCAGGGCGTTCCCAAGCCACCAGAAAACCGCTGACATGCTTGCAGATATTGCCTGTTCGTTGTCAAAAATACTAACCATGGCCCACCAAGAACATCACAGCCGGCTCAAAGCATCTCCTTGCCGTTTAGTCGCCCGGAAAATCCTTCTTTTACTACCCAACTGCCAGCTTTACATGCATTGCACGCATCGTGGGGGCAGAGCGGAGTTGCATATTGCCTAGTGCCCGCCATCCACGACATATCCACGTTGTCTCACTCGTTGTTGATCCGAATGTCACCCTTCCCACGTTAGTTCTCATCACAGTTACCGGCGGCTCTCACGACCCGTTACGCCCTCCGTCAACTACCACGCTGGCCCAGCATCAGGACTCCCAACATACCTCAGATCCAAGACAATTGTGTGAAGGGATAATAGCAACAGAGAGGCACAGACACGGGAGTGACGAGACCGGAGAGGCAGACAGCATACTTGAATCGGCATCAACGGCAAGGCATGCACATCCATACCTGGGGGCGGCGTTTATGATAGAAGACACGGACTACACGAGTATCTCTTCGGGTCGTCGGCGACTCGGCGGCACTGCAACACACTTGCTAGTCATTGGTGTTGACCCTGGTGGGTGGGTGGTCAGCAACGAGCCTGAGACTTCTTCAACACACTACCTGAGACTGGGTACATTCCGGAGCCACGGCAATCTCTAGTGTTTTGTTCGTAAAGACTTTGACTGGAACGTCTCTTCGGCCCGTTCCTGGCAACATAAGTCGTGCCACATAAAATCTTCATCTGTCATATTCCTTCAGGCACAGAGTCGGACTTTTCGCTTCATCCTTCCCGTCCTATATCAGACTCCAGCCACCCCACTGCAGGAACAAGGCAAAGCTTTATTTCCTACATCACTTTCTTTCACCCGTCTTACACCACCACCGCCATCACAGTCACGCCATCAATAATACTTCACATCAAAATGTCCTCACACTCAACCCCTTCTATCACAACACTCTACCCCGAGTATGCCACCACCGCGCCCCTAGATCACCTCCGCTCAACAGCTTACTCCTACCTTGACGCCCAATCACACACCTATCTCGACTACACGGGCTCCGGCCTCTGCTCTTCTCCACAACTCGCCGCTCACGAAGCCCGCCTGGCCTCCACCCTTTACGGCAACCCCCACTCCGTCAACCCAACCTCAGAAGCCGCCACTCTCGCGGTCGAGCAAACCCGCAAGAGGATACTGCAATACTTCAACGCCGACCCAGCAGAATACGCGGTCGTCTTCACGCCGAATGCCTCGGGTGCGGCGAGGTTGGTGGGCGAGGGGTACCAGTATAAGCGCGGAGGAAGGCTGGTATTGAGTGCGGATAACCATAATAGCGTTAATGGCCTGAGGGAGTTTGCGAAGAGGTCGGGCAAGGGGGTTAAGGTTGCTTATGTGGGGATTGACACAACGGGGGCGAGGGAGCCGAGAGGAGAGATGAGGATTAGAGAGGAGGATGTTGTCAACAAATTGCCCAAACACACAGGAGTAAAAGGAAAGGTGAAGAAGGTGGTGAAGGTTGGTAAGGAGATGGTGACTGCGCCGGTTAGGGGATGTTTGAATCGGTTCTCTTCCCACCAGCCGATCTCAGTCCCCACATCAGAGAAACGCCACTACCAACAACCAGCGGCAGCAAAGAAGCAGGAAAGCGAGCACAGAAACGGCCTCTTTGCCTACCCAGCTCAATCCAACTTCACTGGCGTCCGTCATCCACTTCATTGGGTGCCCCTCGCTCAATCACGAGGCTACGACGTCCTCCTCGACGCGGCCGCCTATCTCCCTACCTCCCGCCTCAATCTCTCAGGGGACATCAAGCCCGAGTTCATCATTGTATCGTGGTACAAACTCTTCGGCTACCCCACCGGCGTCGGCAGCTTGATCGTCAAGCGTTCTGCCCTAGCCAAGCTTCGCAGACCTTGGTTCTCAGGAGGTACTGTCAAGGCGGTGACTGTCGGCGTCAAGTGGCATCAGCTGAGCGACAGGCTAGAAGAAGCCTTTGAGGATGGGACCGTTAACTTCCTCAGTATTCCAGACGTGGCGGTTGGACTGGAATGGTTAGATTCCAAACACAACCATCTTCCCTCTACTTCTTCCCCTCGGGGCTCCGGTGATCACGGAGAGTCAGAGCCAGAGAGGTACGGAGTAGGAGGCATGGAAATGCTCGAAACCCGCGTCCGCTGTCTCACGGGTTACTTCCTCTCTCGCCTCCAAAACCTGCGCCACAGCGACGGCAAACCAATGGTCGAGATCTACGGCCCAACATCGACCAAGATGCGCGGCGGCAGCGTAGCCTTTAACCTCCTCGACGCCCACGGCGCGTACGTCGATGAACGCCTTGTCGCCCATGAATCGGCAGCCGCAAGGATCTCCCTAAGAACAGGCTGTTTCTGTAACCCGGGCGCGGGCGAGGCCGCATTCGGACTGGATATCTGGGGGTCGTTTTCCCGGTTACCTGTCGGAAAACTGTGGAGGATGTGGAGGGGGTACAAGCGCGAGGGAAGGGATAACGGGGAGATGAGCTTTGAGGAGCTGTTAAGAGTGCTGGGACTGCCGACTGCGGGAGGGATTAGGGTCAGTTTTGGGGTGGCGAGCAATATCAGAGATTTGGAGGCTTTTATGGGGTTTATGGAGAAGACTTATCGGGATCGGGTTACGGGGAAGGAGGGGTTGCCGGAGAGGATGGGGTGCTGACGGAGTGCTATGGGAGATAGATGAAATGGAAATGCGAATAATGTTCAAGGCCAGAGGTGCCCGTTGATGACGATGGTGATGTTGTGTGATGGCGCGCGTGTTGTTGAAGTATAGATCGGCTGTGTCTTGAAGTCTCTTGCCGTTGCCGCGGCGAGAAAGATGGTGGTTGAGTAGAGTGCCATATTGGCCTTTTAATCTTTGCTGTATTTAGCCTTATGGCTTCCTGTAGAGATGCCCTGGGATGGAAGCATGCAGGATGTTGGAAACTTGAGATGAGTCCCGGATGCGAGAGAGGCGATGCGGATGGGGTTATGGTGGGAGACGCTAACACTTGCACAGCCGGGCCACGAAGTCGACACATCGTCATCCACGCAATCAACCTTTTTATGGAAATACCGAGTGAAGTGTAGATTAAGCTCGCTAACCGTCATTCACCAGTTGGAATCAGGGTTTCAGATGCTTTAGTACGTAATGGTAACAAGAGTAGAAGACTCAAAGTTGGTTGCCGCTAATGGGATGTCTCTGTTAGTGCTTTGCCCTGTGCCCTTGCTCTTTTGTTCGTTGCCGTGAAAAGAAGTGGGCTAAGATTGGAGAAGTGCTTTCAGTTACAGTGGGCAGGCGCTGTATTTCCGCTGTTTTGGGGTCAAGGACGAAGCAATTGAGGTCAATAGTGGAGGCCTGCGTTGTCGCTGCCACGCAGATGATGCGCGCAGTCCAACTTGTTATCCGCTCCGTTCCTCGATCTCCAAACATGTCAACCGAAGTGCGGCGCTTGGTGTCATTCTGCAAGATTGATATCTCCGCTGGGTCTATGGCCGGCATTTTGGGGGTTGAAGCTCTCTGCTAAGCGCGGTCTTGGTCGGACATCATGTCCTTTTGTTCCCGTGGTCATGACTGCCCCTGACTGCATAAAGGCCGCCCTGCCTCCAGCGCTTCAGGTAACGACCCCATTATCCCCAGCAGCCAGCGCTGACATCGCTGACTTTTGTTGTTTATCAAAGCACGTCCGGTAAACAACCCCGCCGTATCCCCAGCAACAGAAAGGGGAGCGGCAAGAAAGACGACATTCCCAACCTCTGCTCCCATCCATGTCCATGTCCCACGAGTCCAGTCCACGCCAATACATCTCCACACATCGGCTGCCTCGTCACAGCCGCGCTCTGCGCCCACCCTGCCATGCCTGCCCACCCCCGCATTTCTTCGACGGTCCACGATGGTCCACCACTCGAGCCAACATACCCGCTGTTTCGTCCGTCACCATTCCCGTAAGCTTCCCGTCGCGTCGGTATGGCTTCCCATTGGAGTTTTTGGTGACCACTGAAACCATTGAAGTGCTGGGTTAGCAGTTATGTGCATGACAGGTGAGACAGGGTCCAATTTGTCCAAGGCGACAGTGGCTGTGTGGGTTGGAACGGCCCGCTGGTGGCCGGTAGTGACCCCTTGTGGCCTATCGGAGCGGCCAGGCACGTTGGTACATACAAAAGCGTCAAAAGGTAGCCATTCGCATGTCGGAGGCCCTCAATGGTACAGAGGTCATGGATGATAGGTGCAAGACATGTGGACAGAACCAAAAAGTGCAGACATAATGCAACTGCCAACCAACGGGAACAAGACATGAAAGCGAACGGAAACCCGGAGAATGCCAGTCTGCCTTGGTACCTAAGAAGGGGAAAGGTTTGAAACTACCCCACCCCTCTTTTTGGGCTTTGGGCTGGCAGGGCTGCTGGCTGTGAACTTGTGAGAGGAATGGGATGGGGTGTTTATCTTGATGGTGTTCCCCTTTCTTGCAACGTTGGAAAGTTGCACTTCTACCGTGAAATGAGTATCCTCGTTTTTGAACGGGGGAAATCGAAGCAATCATGCCCACAACTCCATCTTCCAGACGTAATTCCCACCGAAATCGTCGGGGAAGCACTCCACCAACACCAGGACAGAATGGCTCCAAGCTTGCGGGACGCATAATGTGGTTGCCGCATGCAGACGAGCTGAGTTCTTCGACTGGGTTTGCGGATGAATGCCATAATCATCCGGTCCTTGTGCTGTCGAAGAAGATGGGTGCTGATGGGAAGGTTGATATTCTGATGGTGAGTGCACGGGACTCTCAAGTGGTTGGACATCTGAGTGCTAACCAAGTTGTGCATCCAGATGACCTCCTTCGGCGGTCAAGATCTCGAAGCAAAGCATCGATACAGCAAAGTCCAACTCCGAGGAACTTTCCTGCCCATTGATCCGTCCCCTCCCCATCCCGACAACAACATCCAACTCAAGCTCGACCACGGCGTGACACTGAGAAAGAACTCCTATGTCAAGACCGAGGAACAACGGAAGATCCTGTTCTCTCATCTGCGGAACTACGAGCGTCACAACAACAAAGTATATGCTCTTACGAAGGCTTCGTATCAGATCGTGGTGGAACATTGCGGTTACCGCGAGCCGGTTCACTCTCCTGCTGTCACGATTACCCCGCCAAGGCAGCCTGTCGCTCGGCCTCAACCTCAACCGGAGAGAGTCCCGAGCTATGGCTATGGCACAATCCCAACTGTCGGTGATCGTCTATATCATTACTTGCTATCGGCTTTAAGCCGGGCGCGCGATATTTGTGGTCTCTAACTTCCTGCCAACCTGTACAGTCACAGCCATACCCCGCCTCACGACCTGTCCAAAACACACAAAGCGGCTACAATGGCTACTTTGAAGACAGATCCAACAGCTTCTGGAATCCTGATGCAAACTCTCAGAGAAAGCGCAGGCCCACCAGTCCCTTCCGTCACGTATCAGGCGGATCTCAACATGATCTCTCACCGAGTGCCCAGGCTGTTCTCGGTCTTATCTTCATTGCAATCTTTGCTTGCGGAGCAGCTGGTGTCTACTGGCTTCTCAAGATGTTCTTTTCTTGGATCTCTGAGGGCATCAAACACTTCTTTGAAGGCTTGCAGGGGGTCGATTGGCATGAAGTCTTCAACGCTATTGGACTTTGGCTGTGGGATGTTGTGGTAAATCTGGGCAAGGTCGTCAAGTATCTGGTGGTGATGGCGGCGAAGGGTGTAGCGTGGGTTGCGAAGAGTGCTTGGGGGTTGGTGAGAGATGTGGTTATGGGAGCTCCGAAGGAGAAGCTTTTCTGAGGACGTCGGTCTTGCTTGGGAGGAGGTCTTGGAGAGAACCAAGCAGGTTGTCTGAGGCGTGTATGGGAATGGGATAGAGCACGAACCTATCGTCGGGCGGGCCGCCGGCCGCGGGGTCAAGGTTGCTGAGGCACTTTCACTTGAGAAGGGGAGTCTGGAGTGGGCAAGAGTCTCATACGTCATCGACTAACTGCAGGTTGTCCGTTTGTTTGCCATACCTTCCATTGGTCGTCCCTTCTTGCGCCGCCTTGTCATATAAAGTTTCAAAGACCTGCTGTTTCTGCCGGGGGCATCTAGGGCGGTATCAAGCTTTGCACGTAACTTTCAATACGGATTCTTTTTGCGCACAAAATGTGATTTTCTACCCCGCCTTCTTTTTTACTTTCTTATGTTTAAATTCAAAATCTTCTGCGACCTTCCTTTGCTCACCTTCCTCATCTTCCACCTCACCACCTTTTCCAACAACATGACAGCCTCTTGAACAAGACCAGAGCACCCGCGACCCAGTTGGGGCGAAAGTCCAAACACAAAATGGTAGAGTAAGCATATCGGGCGTCGTCAGCCCGAGGGAATCCCGCCCATTGTTGTGCCAGTCACAACCAAGCTGCCATACGGCTCTGGATCAGCGGACGTACAAGCTCATCTCTTCTGACAGAGCTTGTCACTACCGTGATCCGGAGCCATATAATCCTGCCAATCCCAAGACAGAAGGTACGTCTTCATGTATCCCTCCTCACCTCTCGCGGTCTCACCGCATTCAGTTCTGACCGTCGTGTGCCCTCCAGTCCTCACCGCCGTCCAGCCCTGACCAGAAGAAGAGGTTTGTTGGGCACCTTTCCTTGGCCAGATGGAGGTCTACTTCGGCCGCATCCAGCAGACCATGGACCTTCCCGACCTCCCAAGCCGCTTGAGGTTCATGCTCATGGACATTGTCGACCTTCGCAAGGCCCGCTGGGTCTCCAAGGAGATCGCCGAGCCATGGTTCAAACAAGTAGGTACCTACCTGTCGCCTGTTTTTCTTGATACCAGAGTGACAAGATCTTGAGTTCTGACTTCCGCTTCAGGTCCCTTGACCAGATGTCATGGATATAGCTTCCAGTTACCGTAACTTCATCGCGGCCTGCCCTGCAACAGTGGCAGCCGCCACAAGAAAGGCAGACGCCCACATCCACATCCTACCAAGGTGGGCCAGCCTAGTAAGTTGCCGCCTTCGCTTTTCCTGCTACTTCCACGCGACTGCGAGCAAGTTCTGACGTTGCCACGTTCACTCCAGTTACTGTATCCCGAAGCGCGATCTCGGGCAGGCACCACTCACCCGTACTTTTCCGTTTCGACCTCGGTCGCGCCTTTCTCGCGAGGGCTAGCACCGCCCCAGCGGTCGCGGCATGAACATGTACCAGCAAAAAGTAAATCCCCCTTCATTTACCAACAATCCCTCCTCATTCAAGCCTGAGGAGTCTCGGTGAGAAGGCCACTGCCACTTGCGACGACTGCCCTCGAGAAAGCCGTCAAACTGCATGGTCCTCTACCCAGCAAGGATGGGCAACCGAACTGCTTCGGCTTCATCCCTCCCATAAGAGGAACAGGAAAGTCATTGTCCACACCAGTAATGAATTCATTTCCTTTCCTGGTGTGGACAATGACTTACTATAGTCCCCTCTGCCCTCGTACTTGACCATCAGGTCCAAGCCCAGCTCGGCAAACCGTGTTGTCGTCAAGTGCGGCCATCGATCGTTATTGTGTCGACTGCTACCGCCAGTACATCTCACGGAAGATCCGCGAAGAGGATGAGGCCGCTCGCAAGTGCACCGAAGCGGGAAATCCTGGTTCACAACAAGCGTTGTCTGACAGGCAAGCAATGTAAAAAAGAAGGGAAAGGGTTCTGCTACTCTCAAGCCTGCAACAGTTGAGACCCTAAGGCAGTCTTTTGGGGAATGCATGTTGGAGATCTCACCACTTGGGTTCCATCTCTGTCACCGTTTGTACATACATTGCAATGATTGCATGGGTTTGGATATAGATAGATAGACAAGAAAACATGTTCATTGAAATCCTTCCGGCTGGGCATCCACTCACGGTGTTCGCCCTCGTCCAAACGTCCTGTGACCTGTGATACGTGACTGTCGTTGTCTAGGACCTAAATGCTTATGATGATATTCCTCCATGATTCCTTTTGGCTATCAAGGGCCACATAATCCCACAAGCGATCTCAGGCCTGCAGTTGTAACCTTTTATTCTGGTGAGACAATGCGCTGTTTATGGGGAAAGACTGGTTTGAAAGAAGGCCTGAGGTGAAGAGATGCCTGACTGAAGCAGAATCTTGATGTGATCAAGGAGCGACGCGGGGGTATGACTGGAGAAAAATACCATGATGCAATTCAGATGGATTGGGCTTTTGATCTAGAGGTTGACAGCCGCGATTTTATCGCACTCAATCTCAACCACCCAAGTCCTGCTTCAATCATGCAATTCTACAAATCTTGCCATCTTTAGGTATCCATATGGAATGAGCTTCAACTACACCGGCGTCCTCTTCTTTCCTTGCCTGCCAACGCTGGTTACATGTTTTCAACTTGATCTCACCTCACGCTCACACCCGTCATACCTGAGGGACACTTAACATTTTGAACACAACCCAGACAAATATATCCAAACTTGTCACCTTGACCATTCCACGAATTCAAAACCGGACGGGATTGCCAATATCAGATTTGCTTTCCTTACGATCGTTGAGTCACCAGATGGTCTCGCACCAAAGCCCTATCCGAAGAAAAAGCGGGTCACAAGGCAAAAGGGCACGCAACAGTCCCCGTCATCGGGCAAATTACAACGAAAATACATATCGGACATATAAACACGGTATTATATCTTTCAAGGGCACTAAATGCATTTGTCAGACTCGCCTAGCCACAAAACCATTTGAATGGCGATAAAATGGTGAGTGTCCCACCAGTACTTGGGGTCAGAAGTACGGTAGACACTTTCATGCCACTCGATGCGCTTGAAGGTAAATGTGGTCTGTTGCCAGATTGGACGTCATCTGAAGGTATTTCACACCTCTGTTGGGATAGCAAACGCATTAACTTTGGCTGAGGTCCAACCTTCCGGATGATATCTTGAAGTGTTGCCTGGCAACAGGGTCCTGCGCGACATCTCTCGGGAGGCCAAGATTAGACTGACCTTATCCGAAGGATGCTGATACCACGGGCTGCCAAAGACAAACGATATTGACCATTTTGACCGGACGAATGACGTAGTTGGAAGTGTCTAGAACAACCCGGGCACTGGCAGGCATCCGAACTCGGCCTGGACCACCATAGGGCATGAACGTAGCCACGGCAAGCCGGCCTTTCTGCCTCAGCTGGCTGCCCCAGCCACAGTAGGCCTATCAGGGTCAGCTGGCAGACAAGACCTGCTGGGAGTACCCGTGTAGTGTGATGTTGCGGGAGGCTGTAGTCGTGGCTGGCAGCTGGCAAAATGGCCATTCTTTGCCCACTCACGTGAGCACCAGCCACGCAACAGACGCGCAGCGACCAAACGGCCGTGTTAAAAGAACACCTCTTGACCACTCACGTCTCCCTGAACTTTTCTCAACACAACAAAGTTCCAATAAAGTTCCACACGACCACCCACTCATCTTGGGTTCGCAATCTCAAGGTACGTTGGGTTGATGAGCTCAGCTTAGCCACAACAGCACAGTTGCAGTTGAAGCTCACGTCTGTCAACAGTCCCATGCGCCGGCTGTAGCCTCCGCCACCCCAACGCCTACGACACCACCTCTGAAAATCCCCTGGCGATGTCACAGCCTGTAAGCCACCAACATTCGGTTGCACATCCATCACAGCAGTACTTAACATGCACACAATGGTCCTGTCTTCTTTCAAGTCATCTTATTCTCACTTGTCGTTCACCACAGGCTCCATGTATAACAGGCGGCCGTAGCTGAGCTAGAGGAGGGCCTCGGGGCCATACCAAAACTCGAGATTCCCCCGGCCGGCTCGTAGCTGAGCTAGAGAAAGGGCCTCAGGGACACCCAAAAAACCTGGGGTCCCCTCGCCGGCTCGACGGCCGTAGCTGAGCTAGAGGAGGGTCTCGGGGACATGCACCAACTCGAGGTCCCCCCCGGCCGCCCGGGGTCTCTGGCTCAAAGATCAGTAGCCTCACCCAGCTGTGCTTGACCAGCATCCAGGTAAGAAATGAGCGCGCCACGTCTGGGCTTGACACCATGCACGATGAAGGCACCAGCGCTAACCACTTCACCCATCCTTTGACAGTACGAATCACAGCTGGCGAGCCATGGCAGCCAAGAAAAGCACATACAGCCAACTACGACAGCTGATTAACAG